TTTTTTTTCCTACCTATGCTTATAGCCTTGAGAGGCTATTTCAGCTTCGCCCTAACGTTTGTAGGTGAGCTCGCGGGGCTCAACCGGAGAGTTGCTAACACTGACCCTAGCAAGAGCAGTGCTTCGCAGAATCTACCACCGGAGTGGAAAAGCGACCCACTGAGAAGATCCGGCGAGAAACTCAGTGGGCTCCTGAGCCCCGTGAGCTCACCTACTAGTTAAGCTTAGGTAGGAAAAAAAAGCGAATCACATTTATTGTTAAACAAAACCTTATAGGTATTCAATATCAATATTTCAATTGTAGTGTATTTATTTGTTTCACTTTTTGCCTCTTTAGCTAATATCTGTGAAACAGTATTAATAATGTATCATCATCAACCTTTAGTCCACTAAGGGACAAAGGCCTTCTGCAAAGTTCGTCATAACGAGCAGTCCTACGCATTCACGCATTCAACGTATGTCTTGTTTTATAGCTGGATCTATCATGCCGAACCAATACCTTAGTCGCGTGAACCTGGAAGTGATAGATAACAGCATGTGCTCGTGGGTGTTCCCCGGCATCTTGCAGCCTACAAACTTATGTACGAGCGGAGTTGGTGGTGTCGGCACTTGTCGTGGTGACTCCGGTGGCCCTCTTGTTATTACAAGAAACAACCGTCGTATTTTGGTGAGATTTAATGTTGGACTAATATCCCAGAAAAATTTTTTTTTTAAATGTTAATGTTAAATTTTAATGTTAAAGACAGTTTCTCAGGCAATAACATAAGCAATAAGCTCTAGTTAATAACAGCATCAAATGTCGTGTTTGCTTATGTTTAATTATTCTTAAAGGTTTCATCTCTATAGACTTAGAAATAGTGAATATTATTGTCACGTGACCAACGCAAAATACTTAAAGTCAATTAACGATTGATTTCAAAATGACACATTCGACGGGATACTTTGACCAAGGATAGACAGACATCTATAGTTTATTCTTTATTGCTTACTAGTTGACCCGACAGACTTCGTAGTGCCTCAACCTATAAAGAAAAGACCTAAACTTTTGTATAAAATAAACTTAAAACAAACAAAATGAATCCGTCCAACGAATTCCGAGCGTTTTCATATTTATCTACCTTTTAAACCTTCTCTGGACTTTCACAAATAATTCAAGACCAAAATTAGCCAAATCGGTCGAGCCGTTCTCGAGTTTTGGCGAGATCGGTAGGCAGCGGCTTGGCTTTGCCCCTGGCATTGCTGAAGTCCATGGGCGACGGTAACCACTCACCATCAGGTGGGCCGTATGCTCGTCTGCCAACAAGGGCAATAAAAAAAATAAAAAAAACAGAAATTCAATTATTTTTTTTATTGCTTAGATGAGTGGACGAGCTCACAGCCCACCTGGTGTTAAATGGTTACTGGAGCCCATAGACATCTACGACGTAAATGCGCCACCCACCTTGAGATATAAGTTCTAAGGTCTCAGTATAGTTACAACGGCTACCCCACCCTTCAAACCGAAACGCATTACTGCTTCACGGCAGAAATAGGTGGTGGTACCTACCCGTGCGGACTCACAAGAGGTCCTACCACCAGTAATAATTTAAGTGAATCATTTTTATATATATAGATAGATTATTGTCATGGATAGCGGCTTAACATTAAATTTCATTTCATTTATTGCGCTTCGAATTCTGACGACGCGAGATATCTTCAGACTTCTTAAGTCATTCTGATTTAAATTACTTTAGTCATCATATTGCACTTACTCAACACGAAAACATAAATACGAGCGGCCCAGGGCAATTCACGGGGAATACAACCTCTGATATAGATCTCATATACATATATCGTAGATCTCGTATGTCATAAGATACGTCTAGTAAAAGCAGTCATATAAAATTCGTCAAAGTAAAAAGTCATTTAAAGTTCGCCCAATGTTCGAAATTCGACGAGAATCAATGCCAAATCAAGATTTAGATTAACTTTTGATATTTGATATTATGAAATAAAACCGACTAGTGCCTATTTTTTTTTATTTTATTGAAAAACTGAAGCTGTTCAATTACTAAACAAAACAAGAAAGATAAAAACGACTAACAAAACAAAGGAGAAAATGGTACTTAACCGTTTTGTCGTATGACTATTTAAATGTATAGATTATTTCTGTCTTCTTCGTAAAGTTTCCGCACACAAAGCACGAAAAGAGGCGACTGGATGTCGGATTAAAAATACCTTGTAGAGATGTCCATATATCAGTCTGAGTTTTTGTTGATAAGTCCTATTACGGTTAGGTTTTATCATAAATCAGCAAAAAGTGGGTAGTTAACACTACCATAAATTTAGTATGATTATTGTGTTTTTTTTTCAGATTGGCATTACATCATTTGGCTCTGGTTTCGGTTGCGAAATAGGCTTCCCTGCTGCCTATGCCCGTGTGACTTCATTCATCGACTTCTTTAATAAGCATATTTAAATTTATAAGTATAATATTTTTAAATAAATAAAACATACATTAATTTTATATTTCTCTCTTACCTCTAACAACCTACAGCAATAATGAAACCGTTCAAAAAATTTACTGTCACAGATTCACCGTTTACCGAAATACCACAAAAATAACACGTTATACAAGTTATTTTAATATTATCTTTAATACTGAAACTCTATAGTAGCGTAGCGTAAGCGTAGTTTTTCACTTTTTAATTTTTCATGCATCTTCTTGTTTTCAAAGGGGTTCCTCCAAAACAAAACATAGAAGAGTATTCGGCATTATCTATCACCTGATTATATCGAAATAGGCAAAATAAAGACCCGTGTTTTAAAAAATGAGATGCCGCAAATTGATTTAGGTTGGCTCCACTCTCAGAAGGCATAAAATCAGATAACAAGAACAATCTATAGACTGAAATCCTTAAGGAAGATGTATGGTCGTCTTCAGTAGAGCTGGCGTGAAATCACTAAAGCCATTGGAAAGACCAAGAACTACATAAATAGCACAGTTCAAGACCGAAGGGCATAACACTGTGGACGCCCTTTGCCCCACCTAAGAGACACAGAATCTTTACAAATACATATTACTTCAACAAATATGAATTAGTATTACGGTAGCAGATAAAAATCACTGTTAAAAAATATTATCAAATGTACTACACATAATCGTACTTTCGTACGTACAACTATCAAACTGTAATTTACCGCATCAATGATAAAAATTAATCTGTATTTACGATAAAAACGGCACTTAATTCTGATAGATGATGACCGAGCTTTGCTCGCTTTTTTTGATACCGCCATCTTGTTGTGTCTTTAAAGCGATTAGTTGCCCTCAATTAAGAAAAAATAGTATTATTATTCGCCAATAGATGTCGGGAAGAGTTGATTATTGAAAACACGAATAAAACAACTTTTTCTGAAAATAAATCGTAGCTAGATCGATTTATCGCCCCGGCCCGCGAAGGCCGGCTATCCTCGACTCACGCTGGTTCTGACCCAGCGGGGTATTCTGTAAGATAACCAATTCTAACCGGCGCCATCTAGGCGGGCTCCGGATAGCCTGCCGACCGAGAGGGCTGGTGGTCGTGGCGCCGACGACCGCTGCTCCGGCGTCCCGAGGGGGGCGGTGATGGGAGAGATGTGCTCCGCACTAAACGCTTCACTTTCCCCCCTTTGCCTTTTCATGGGTTCTGTCTCATGCGAGGTTCGGACGCGGGTTGTTGAGCGACAGAAGGTTTTAGTCAGTTCGACTCCGACATGCCCCGCCCTCCATCCCCAGGGGAGGGCGGAAGTCCGGCGATTTCCTCCTGACCAAAAAAAAAAACCTATTTAATTAACAGCGGGAGACGCATTGTTACAATGATCATTTTAAATCACCATTTTATCTATAAGCTATCAAATAATTTACGAAAATCAATTAATAACAGAATCAGCGTCATGATTTTATAATTGTTTTTAGTTGGTTACCAATAATATTTTTAAAAGATAAGCCCGATAAACATTAAAATTTACACTTACGTTAAATAAAAACGCAAATCTACCGATGTATTTCAAAGTAAATGAAGTTAGAAAACTCCATTCCACTTTTTATTCTTGAAAAAATAGTTTTACATTGAATTGCTGTTGATGTAGCTTATAAAGGAAGGTTACTCTAGTGAACGACAGTAAAGCATTGACTTGGCAACTGCGTCTGGCAGTTTGGCATCCGTCAACCTGCAAAGTTCACCACCACATATAAACAAAAACTATTTTCAGAGATCTACATCTACATGCCAATTTCGTTTTAAATATTCCAAAACAAATCTTATTTTCTAAACAAAGAAGTTATGATCTATTATCGTGGACAAACTGATATCTGTTACGAACAAAAACTTTAGCCCTCATTTGACAGGTTCGACGAGAACGGCGACCCGTACCTGGAATGCCTAAAACCACCTAGAGTGTATCGGGAGGATCCGAAATGACTAAGCACGCAATAGATGACCGACCAAAATAGAAAACCACCGTGGATAACCTCGCATCTCCGTATATAAAACAAGAGATGTACATATGTGAGACCATTTAATGACAAGGATATTGTTACACGCTGGGGTTCGGGATAAATAAATGCTCCACCAAAGTACAACTAAAAACTGTATTCAACACTTAGAACACTTCAAACACTCAACAAACACTTTAAAACTCTCAATTCGCTTGTTCCGCTTCATTTCAGGTGATCCGTTCGCTGTTTCGCTTCGAGTAGTTCCGATTACTGACTGACTGTGTGCCATCTCTACAACGCTTTTATAGACGATACCTCATCCCTAGAATTATCGACAATATTCCACACATCTCTAGTAGTAGTTTCCTCTATAATAGATGGCGTTGTAATTCTCGAGCATTCTGGGTGCTACTAGATCCTTCTATATTCTTTCGACTATTCGGCGATAGATGGCGTTACTCTTACCGGCGTAACAATATTCTATGACGTCATAATAATATATGCTTCAAAACTGTTCTTGAACTATCAACGACGATCATCGGGTCATTGATTCGATTTGTTTTTGAGGTACTTAGAAATAATAAATCTTCAAATAATAAAAGACGAAAAAGATCTGTGGTCTATTATATAAATAGAGAAAGACAAAACGGTTTTAAAAACCATCCAATCCTCTGATCGTCAACCGTTTCAATACGTCTAATTTTTTTTATTAAAATTAGATAAGGATTTTATTAGTATTTTATGCTTTGACCACAAATAACGTTACTTATAACAAAATTAAGGTAGTTCTAAACTAGTATAAAACCTATTTGAAAATCGAACTGAAAACGAATTTCAAGCCATCATTTCACGGCGAAAACTCGTAAACAAAACCCTCGTTTATACGTCAGCCGGGTGCGCCGTCAAGTCCACGAGAACGGCACACGGATTAACGCCACCGAACAGCGACGCCAATTAGAATCAACTATGACTGCACGTCATCACGCCATGGAATCCATAAAATGATGCTCGATAAATATATTTCGATGGAATTAAAAAAAAATATTTCGGTTTTCAATATTTTTAATTCGTAGCTAGTGACACGGAAGCGCTTTCGATTATGAATAGGTAGTGCTGGTTTTGTGAAAAATATACATTTGTTTAAAAAATTCGCTTGTCAGAGATCATATAATTATTAATATAGTAGGTATAATGAAAAGGTTCTCTGAAGTGCACACAACCACGGCATAAAGTTACAACATAAACAGATCATAAACAACTTAAGCAAACAAATACAATGATTTAAATATTATTATTTTTTTTTAAATTCTATTTTGTAAACTATTCAAGTTTATGACCATTTATTCCATATTTCATTCTAGTGGGATAAAGTGGAGAAAAAAAAAAAAAAAAAAAAAAAAAAAAAGAAGAAGATTAATTGAAAAGCCTGACAATATTTGAATAAGTTCTTATTATAATACGGCCCTTTCTCACTTCATATGTTACAATTTGAACAGAATTAACAATGAAAGTATTCAAACATATCTTCAAATAATTGTCTTTAAAAACACANATTCCATATTTCATTCTAGTGGGATAAAGTGGAGAAAAAAAAAAAAAAAAAAAAAAAAAAAAAGAAGAAGATTAATTGAAAAGCCTGACAATATTTGAATAAGTTCTTATTATAATACGGCCCTTTCTCACTTCATATGTTACAATTTGAACAGAATTAACAATGAAAGTATTCAAACATATCTTCAAATAATTGTCTTTAAAAACACACACGCAAAGCAGCACGCTATGTGCCCAGCCCGTGAGGGTGTTGAGAGCATTTTGTTTTTAAATTAGTCATAACGCGGTATAAATTTAATTAGCGTGCTAATTGCTACGTCGGGCTCTACTCGCCAATTAATGCCAACTTTATCTTTACTGAAAATCGGTTCAGCGTAAGAACAGCGTTTGCGGAAGCGTTGAACCGCCTCCTTATATTATTATTTGAGGTGCTTTCTAATCACAAAATAAAGAAAACCTAGTATTTTGGGCGTGCAAGACCAGTTATTGTAGCTTGGAGGAGGGCCAATATCCAGAAATGCACGTCTGTGGACTGAAAGAAGAAATAGAAGTATTTTCGACTTTTCTTAGGAGCAACGCGAAAAGATGACACATTTAATTTTCAAAAAATATACAGGCAATTGAGCAATAATAGCCGAATAAAATATAGAAAAACATTATTTTCTTGCAATTACAAAAATTAAAAACCTCAGTAACTCGCAAAATCTTTTGAACTTCCGAAAAAACATAAAAACAAATAATTAGATTAACAGCCTTAAAAGTTACGCTTTACGACTGATTTTACAATAGAATTATATTAATTCAACGAAACCCTTAAAATTATTTCTACTCTTGGCACACCGTTGATATGATTTTTGACCCAAATTAAGCGGGTGCGAAATTAATTTCACTTAACCGTTGAAGTTTTCGTGACCTTAAGTTTATGACGATAGCTGTTTTTTTTATTGCGTTTCTAAGCAGCCGTGGAGAATACGGCCCACCTGACGGTGAGTGATTACCACCGCTCATGGTCGTCAGCAATGCCAGGGATACAGCCAAAGCATTGCCTACCGTTGAGTACTCTCCACAGAACTCGTTTGAAACAGAGAAAAATTATATTTGCTTGTTTAAAAACTGAAATATTAATTCCAATCCATCATCAATCGGGGCGTATTACCACTTTGTTAACATGTTGGTTTTGACCCGACGGAATATCCCAGGGGTATGAGAGGGCAGAGCTGTCTAGGTGGGCCTACGATAGCTCCCTAGCCGAGAGACCTGGCCGTTGTAGCGCCAAAAATCACGCGCTGGGTGTGCAGTATGGGCAGGGCGGTGGAATGGCGCGTAGGAAAGTCCGGCTCTCCTTTCCTTTTGCCCGAAAAAATCAAGTTGATAGGAATGGCCTTATAATTTTAAATACCTACTAACATAATAAATTGAGATTTAAACCTAAAATGCATCAACGATAT